GCTTAAACGTAAGAAGACAGTCAGAAATAGAACCAGAGCTTTCACTAGTGTGTGTGTATAATAATAATAATAACAACAACTTTATTTTGAAATGGAAAAACTTGAATCACAAAAATTGTGTTTTTCACAAGGCCTAGGTCTGTATAATTAGATAGTTTTTATGTTAAGTGTGTCAAAAACTACAGAAGTATTCAAAAAATTCGTTATGTAATATCACTGTGCAAGAAATATTTTATTTTTTATGTATAATAATGGTCTATATATGTAGGCTTATATATGTATACATATTTAATAATTAAAAAATAATTATAATTAATTGTAATATTAGTAGGCCAAAACCTATGCAGTCTAAATTCAGCCTACTAATATTGCATATATTATTATTATTATTATTATTATTATTTTATTTATTTTATTTTTTTATTATTTTCCTTTATTTTATTTTGTATGATAATGGCCTCACCTACATATAATATATACATATATTCTATCAATCAAAACATCAATTTCGATTAAACAGCAACTTTTTCAACTGTGGCAGTGGCGATAGAAAGCTGCAGTTTTATCGCACTGCGGCAGTTCCGATAGAAAACAGCAGGTTTATTTTCGCACTGCGGCAGTGCCAAACCGGAATTGCCGCTGTTAGATTGTGGTTCATATGTGTGCAAGGACAGGCCAAACCAGTCGCTCCTCACCAACCATGTTCTGGTGATAATAAGTAAAACATGTTGGAATGTGAACATTTTAAAAATCTATTTATTGCACTAAACTCAACTCTATATATCTATGCTTCATGGTATGTTGTTATTTTGCCCATTTTCAATGTTTACATTTACAACATTTTTAAATTATTTGGTGGTGTATGTGCTTTAGAAATGTCCAAAATCATAACCTTTAAACAGCTGTATTAAATTCCTCTAACTGCTAATATTGAAATTAAATGATTCTTTTACCTATTTATAACTTTCATAACTGTTTCCACTGTATTAAGAATTGAAAATCGATTTGTTTATTGCGAAGAGTGACTGCTTTGGCTTGTCTTTCCTACATATTCAGTTAGATAATGACACAGATATTTAATATTAAAATGTTATGAGTTTCAATTGTTAAATGTAGCAGGAATGAGAACTGTTGGGCACAGTAAGTTAATAATCTTCTTTTTTAATGGATTGTAACAACAAAATCTACTTTCTTAAAGAGTTTAAAATGCATGACATTGAAAACTAAAATGTAAGTAACTTGCATTCTAGGTTAAAAGTATTTTAAATTATGTTATACATCAATTTGTGCCACACAAAATTATGATCTTAACTTTGAATTAAAAATTGAAAAGAAGAGATCCGAGGAAATTTATAGGGATAAAGGTTTTTGTAAAATTTGTAGCAATAATTATTTTCATCATGTTGAAGATAAAATATTTAAATTCGTATGTACTCTTTATGTATTCTACAATTTTGTTACTATATATTCAGCCATTGACCAACTTTGTTGCTTACATTTTAATAAAAAATAGTTAGTATTTTAGGAAAAATTACCTCCTCTGCATTAGTTTGAAATAATAAATTAATACTTTAAGCAATATTGAATATGTTTATTAGAGTCAAAGGCCTGTAAATAATTTAGAATGAATACATTGTCTAAAAAGATAGTAAGTGTGAGAACAAAAATATCATTTGCCAAATATCATTTTATAGAAAAACTTCTTTAAGAAGCTGATGACCTCATTTTGTTTCTCAAAAATAGAAAAAAGAATTAGTGACTGAATTAGTAAATAAATACTGGGGCAAAGTCAAACAATTGCTGCAAAAAAAATGGATTTTTATTCGATATAAATATGAACGTGGTTGTTAAAGGAATCGACAATATTAATGATAAATACAATGTCGTAAATAAATTTATTACATTAGCCGCTTTTGTTATTTATTCCACATGGCTAAAATCAAGTGAAAACAATATACAGTTATTAAAACCTATTATACCAATTCTTTTAACTGAGCTTAAATACAGGAAAAAGTTGCAAGAAAATACCTCATCAGCCAAAGCAAGCAAATTCAAGGATTTCGTAATTTAACTATGAGAATAACTACATTCTATATAAAATTACCACTCCTTATTATTATTATTATTATTATTATTATTATTATTATTATTATTATTATTATTATTATTATTATTATTATTATTATTATCATTGATGTTATTATTTCAAAACAAAATTTAATGACAAGAAAGACTGACATTTCGGGTCCATCACGGAACCATTCTCAGGATCAAGTAAATTGAAAA